GGGTGTGCCGAAATGGATGCGCGTGACGCATGCGGGCTGCGCCACTGGGACCTTCGTGGCCACGAAACGTGTGAAAGGTGTGCCGAACTGGGTGCGCGACGCATGCGGGCTGCGCCACTGGGACCTTCGGTGGAGCTCCCTCTGAGACGTGCTCTTGCCCTTTGTACCACATCATACCACACCAATTAAAATCCTGTAAAAAACCTGTTTTAACACCTGACAAAAAACCTGTGTAAAACATGTACAAAAGTTATAAGACGCACCCATGTTTCCAAAAGCTGATAATCATGGCGAATGAAAATGACGTAAAATCTGCCCCAGAACAGCGGGTATGAAAAAGCTGTAGTAATAACATGTAAATATTCATACGTATACAAGCAAAGCTGTCAGACAAGGTGTACTCGTTTAATGTATGTTGTCGCACGCTCGCATTATATATATATATATATATATATATATATATATATATATGGGTTGCAACATATACATAATTCGTAAGCTCGAAACTTTTCGATTAAAAAATAATTGTCTCTGGTGCGCTGGGACGCCGTAAAGGAAGCGAATGTCATATCAACGAAATAAGCTGGAAAACAATCAGACGTCATAGTGCCACCATATATTGAAACACAACATTGTCATGTTGTACACTAGAACTGGATATAACAACGACGTAATGCACAACCATTGTATCAATGCACACTGTAACCATATTGTAAAATGTAAGAATGCGCAAAACGTGTTTGTCATATGAGATGGAATTCGATGGCATCGTATTGCGCGCTCTATTGAACATTGCATATATGACCGTTGTCTACCAATCAATGTATTACGATGCAACAGATTGGTGTCAATGATGATAATTGACGTGGTATGCGTGTTATGATGAACCGCCTATTGGCGCGGTACAATGTGGTGTAAAGCTGATCGCCCCCACGCTTCAGGAAGAGGGGGCCAGCATCAGCAACATCATTGGGACAAACACGGGGCAACAGCGGGGCAACCACATCAAATTAAGTGTATAAATGTGCCCATCGATATGTACATGTACATACCCACTGCTATCATTTCATGTATATTTTATGGGCCTATTTCGGAACATCCACGGGGCAACAGCCCTGGGACAAGCCATGGGGCAACCGCGGCCAGACGTCGGGGGGACAGGGGGGACGAGGAGGAGGACGAGGAGGAGGGCGGGAGGAGGGCGGGAAAAGGAGGAACAGCAGCAGCAGCAGCAGCGCAGCAGGAGCAGGAGGGGGAAGGGGGGAGCGGAGGAGGAGGGGGAGAAAGAGTAAGAACCCGAACAGTGCGCGCCTCCCTGCAGTAAGTTTCTGATGATACTGTTGATTCTCCTGATCGTAACTCATGCTGCTGCTGCTGCCTGGCTCCTCTTCCTCCACGTGATCCTGCTCGGCCAAGGGGGGGGGGGGGGGCAACGAGGAGGAAGACGGGGAGGGGCGCGAGGGGGGGGGATGAGGAGGAGGATGGGGTCCCTTGTGCTGCTCCTTCCTCAACTCCTCCTCGTCCTCCCTCCTCCTCCTCCTCCTCGTTGGCCCTTCCTTCCGCCTCCACAGATCAGAGAGAGTTCGGGGGCAACCATCGGGATCGCCAAGAGGGCCACCATGGGGATTGACAACCACAAGGCAACCAACAAG